TTTAGTGAAAGGTCTTATCATTATCATAAACACGTGGAAATGGGATCTCTACACCGTCACACTATTCGAACGAAGGGATTGCATCTCGGGATTGAGCGAGGTGATTATCCTTGGAGCAGTGCGAGCGTTTGGAGGTAAAGGTGGGCGGAGTTTGGTATTTCGACTGGTCCGAGAATCAAATACTATAGGAGAGCCATGATGGCAAGGGGGTGGTTGTGGTAGGGAGGAGATACTGGTATCGGGGGAGCCTCCTGAGGTTCATGGTGGTGTTGGGGGTCGTATTGAGACCCCCTGAAGGGAGCGGGATCGCACAATTTTGAAAAGGTGCAAAAGCAACGGTTGACCCTGCTCCACATTGGTTTTACCATAGCTTCATTAGCGGTTGGCTTACAGTCCAGAGACATTCACCTGCCCTCATTCGAGCTTTTGAAGTGACGCACTAACGCAACAGTGGAAGCTTCTAAAAATGCAATGCCTTAAGCGATCCGAAGTCAAAGTCACTCTCTAGGTGCTTCAGCTATGCGAGTTTAGGTAGAGGAGGCGACAATTCATTCCTGTGCCAGGAAGGGATAGAGCATCAACATAAAAGCAATTGAAGGCACAATTACGGCAGGTCTTGGGATTGCGCCTTCCGAAGAAGCGATTACAACAAAGGGAGAGCGCATCAGGGAAGCATACGCGCCACACGAAGTAGTACCTTAGCTGCAAAGGAACTGAGGTGTGACGTTCTCACGTGAGCTGGTTGCTGCATTTTGTTGATGGAATTCTCTATTTTTTTCCACTGGCGCACCCTTGAGCACCTCCACGTCGCCTTTTGACCCCTCTATCACAATCTCTAATCTATCACAGTCGCTGACTTTGATCATGATTCGAATCGGACAAATCGCTTCACTCATGCTACTTAAATTCAGAATCGTTCTGGCTGAAAGGTAGAGGACGCCATGTTTTTGAGTGTAAAAGTCGAGAAGGGGACTCTATTAACAAACAAACTTCACAAAAAGATACAGGGGCCATGTGGTAATTCAGGGCAGAAGGTGCTCTAAGTTTGACGATTCTTCTTTGACAGAGGCCTTCTGAGGTCCAGTGACAGATCTTCTGAAGCGCTAACTTGAAAGCTTGCCCCGAGCTGTAGTAGCCTTCTGAAATCTTGCTCTCTAACATCCCCACACAGAGAATTTTATCGGCTTAAAGGCCTGGGGCAGAATGGTCACCAATCTTTCTCCAGTGGCCGGGGAAGTACGCGTCCAGAAGGGCTCTGATCGGTTTGAAAGCGTATTGGGGGCCAACCCCATTAGGAAGCAGACAGACGTTGAGCAGAATGCTCGGCCCAGAGCGACAACCGATACCTCAGCATAGTCTGCAAGACTTTCGAATTTCAACATTTTCTGAAGATGAACACAGAGTTTCACTATTGGATGTTACCCCGTTGCAAACTACCACACCGTTGGGAGAAAGCGTGTTGTAAAGTGGACTGGGGACTTGCTCTGACTTTCTGGCAGCATCCACCTCTGACTGTGACGGTCGCAAAGAAGATGTGACTCTCGCTGGCTCCATCGTTGTGAGTGGCCCTCTTCTAGGTGATTGCCTTAATCCTCTGAGTGTGCGCAGTTCTCGACCTTCCTCTTGTTGCGATCCCAGAGATGTTACTTGAACCTCGAGACCAGAGAAGATGTTTCGAAAAGTAGAAGGGGAATTATCGATTCGCCACGCGGAGAAAGTTTCACAGCGAGATCAGATGAACTTTGGACAAAATAAATATAAATAAATCATGGAGCTCTTACACAGCTCCAAGGCATGCAACGAGTCTTAAAACATCCCAAAAATACTCCACGGCTAGATGCCACCTAGCGGTCCAAGTCGCCTCCTGTACTTTTCAGCCACCCCTGTATTCTTTTAAGGGGCTGCCTACCATGAGAGAAGCATGAACTGCTTTGTTGTTTATCAGTGCTCAAATGATACTGTATTTTTAGAACACTCGTGAGGTAATGTTTATTGGTCGATACATCAAAAACCATTTTTCGGTGCTCTGTTTTTACGCATGGTAGCTGCTTTGGTGGCGCTGATGTCGTTTGAGGAGAGGAGAGGGGGCTGGAGGGGACATTCAAGAGAATGAGTCACTTACAAAACCTGTCCTGAGCCTTATGGTTGGAGAGGGGAAGGGGTGAGCATGTTAGCAACTCTTGTTTTTCCTGGCATTTCTGGCCACTCCTGGCTTACTCCTAGTCACCTAACATCACGGTTTTTCAATTTCCTATTCCAATTTCGTGTGCCCCCCCGGCAAGGCCTTGAACGCCGCTTTGGAATTCATCGTGCACAGTCGGTAGCATACGCTCATACGCACATACTCCACACAAGTCCGGCCGCCCCTTTTCGCTGAAGACCTCCCTTGAGCTTCTTGCTGCTGCTTCTGTGTGTTTCAAAATTAGTAGAGGGGCAACTGCAAAATCATTCTCCTTTTCCATGTCCATAGCTGGTCGAGTGTGGGGTTGGCGTAACCATTAGGCCGCGTTCATAGTTCGCGACTTGGGAGATTAGGATAGTAGGCGATAGGATATTAGGATAGTAGTAGAGTAGGAGATTGCGCTGACAAGATTGGATACGTATCGATTGAAATCGCTGGAGAGTAGTAGATTGGGCGACTTTCAAGCGAATAGATCAATACATATCTTGTCAGCGCACTATCCTACTCTCCTACTATCCTAATCTACTACCATCCCCCACTTCATATCTGTTCACTGCCGCGTACTATCCCGATCTCCGGCATTGCGAACTATGAACGCGGCCTTATCATGTAGCATGGGGCGTCTAGATCATTTTCATTGTACAAAGTTTCGATCAGGCTGAAATGAAATTTGCTCGCGCACTTTGGAGCACTTTCTTCCCACCCACCCATCCACCCTTGAAGGTTCGCCCTGAAACTGACATAAAAATGTTTGCCGCGATTGTAAATGCGTTGCAGGCGCGGTGGCTCCCCACCGTTCCGCTTACTCCCGCATTGCGACATCGCCAAGGCCTAACATGGTCATCTTTTGGTGAAATTACTGACGCTATAACTTCTTCAGATGACACGGTTCGATGCTTACAGGCTCAATCAAGCATGAATGCGGAAGGTCTGTGCTATTCATGTTCAGATAGTCGTCAACTTATTGCTAATGGAACTGGTCTCTCGTCAGGTACCTCCTACCTAGTCTCATCAAACTCCACACCTGCTATCTCACCTCATGTTTTTAGATTACTCAACAGGGAGAGGTGAATAGATATGGAGGCGAGGTGTGGATATCCGTGATTATCTGTTAACGAAGACCAAAACTAACAGATCAACTCACTGAACCAAGTAGCGCAATGGGCGACACTTCTCCCTGCCGCCCGCTGCCAATAAAGTGTTAGAATTGAACTTCAAATGTGTACTTTTTCAATTATCGAGTTGTTGTCATTGTTCAAAGTCAGCAGATGATAAAGTTCATTGGGAAATTCATGAAGGATACTGTATTAATTCATGTGGAGTCGGGTTACTGTAACGAAGGTCAACCGGATGGGCGCTCATGTGGGGGAGGGGGGGAGGGA